CCCGGCCGGAAGCCCTCCGCCCCACCTCTGCCTCCCCTCGGCCAGGCCTGCCCTTCCAGGCACCGTCCACGCCGTGGCCACGCCAGCAGGCCCTTCCCGGGCAACGCGCCCACAGCCCAGGATCAAGCCGAACCCACCCGGGCGCAGCGTGGCTCACTGCCTGCCGGGGCGCCCTCCGCACCCCGCCACCGAAAACTCGTACTCATCCCTCAGCGCCCAGGCAGGGGCCAGGCCTGTGGCGGCCCAGGACGCCCCCGGCTAGTCCTCTCCGGGGGTCCAGGGCGCGTGGCCGGTGCCCGCCGTGAGCACCGCCTCTGTCCTCGCTGGAGGGCCCCGAGGGCAGCGCCCACCCTGATGCTCGTCTCCTGCGCCAGTGTCTGACCCAGGGGGCACACTCAGTGAGGCACAAACACTGGGACGGCCAGGGACAGAGGGGGACACCAGGGGCCAGCCAGGGCCAGCCAGGAACAGCCGGGGACAGCCGGGCACAGCTGAGCACAGCCAGGGGCCAGCCAGGGCCAGCCGGGGACAGCGGGGGACACCAGGGACAGCCGGGGACAGCCGGGGGACAGCCGGGCACAGCTGAGCACAGCCAGGGGACGGCCAGGGCCAGCCGGGGACAGCGGTGGACACCAGGGACAGCCGGGGACAGCGGGGGGACAGCCGGGGACACCAGGGACAGCGGGGACAGCGACTGCCTGTGAACAGCCAGAGCTCACGGTGTGCAGACACAGCCCCACCTCCACACGACTGTCAGTGGCAGGACCCCGAGTGGCCCCAAGATCAGAGTACCCTGACAGCTGGGGGCTGCCCCCGGGCCCCTGGCAGCTTTGGCGGGCGGGGCTACCTTGGCCAGTAGCCGGGTGACCACAAGGCCGATGTCCTCTCTCCACTCGGGCGTGTTTGGGTTGTGTGTGTCCAGCTCCTTGGAAAACTGCAGAGGCACGAGCTGGAATTGATCTGCGGAGGCAGAGACAGGGCTGGCCGGTGCCCGGCTCGGCCCCTCCCGCCCGGAGGCGGCCACTCCCAAGGCCCAGCATGGTCCCGGGCCCGGGCCCCGCGGCCGGTTATCCGAGAACAAGGCCCCACGGCCGCCAGCCAGACG